CCGCGAGCCAAGCCCCGCAAAGCAGCGTGAGCCCGGCCGCTTGCTCCCAGCCCTTGGTGGGCTGATGGGTCACGTTACCACGGGCCGTTGTCTCCCACAGCCACCGTCACCATGTCCTGCATGATCAGAATGTGGACAAGAGGACCTGTATCCCCATGAACCACCTCTGGCCGAACCAGGCTCCTTACACCGTCTGCAACAGCTCCCTGTCGGAGTACGGCGTCCTAGGTCAGTGGCGCTGGAGGCTGCCTGGCCGCGGGCCCGGCGCTCGCGGATGGGGCCCTCACGCTGCCTCTCTTCTCCGCAGGCTTCGAGCTGGGCTTTGCCATGGCCAGTCCCAATGCCCTGGTGCTGTGGGAGGCCCAGTTCGGTGATTTCCACAACACTGCCCAGTGCATCATCGACCAGTTCATCTGCCCCGGCCAGGCCAAGTGGGTGAGGCAGAACGGCATCGTGCTGCTGCTGCCCCACGGCATGGAGGGCATGGTAAGGGAGTCCTCGCGTCCGCCCAGCCTGCGCCTGCCCAGCCCGCGGCGCTGCCTCCTGCCCGGCCAGCGTTCACAGCCACGGCAGCCGGCTGGACGGGTGGAGATTGGGAGCAATAGGGCTCCACCCGGGGGGGCACTAGGCTGGGGGTGGCTGCAGCTACTGGACTGTTTCTTAGGGAAAACCGAAACTTGCATGTTTCAACCAGAGTGAGCTGGGGCAGCAGCGCAGAGCAGCGGCCTCAAGCAGCGAGTGGCCCCGGCCGACCGCACTCGTAATGCGGGAATTCGCCCTTGCAGCTGGCCTCACCTCTGCTTGGCTTTCCCCGCAGGGTCCCGAGCACTCGTCGGCCAGGCCAGAGCGATTCTTGCAGATGTGCAACGACGACCCAGATGTCTTCCCAGTAAGCGCCCCCTTCGGCCCTTCCCGGCTCCCTGCCACCTCTCGGAGCCGGGCCCCGGGCCTGGCTGGGATCGCTGCGTGGCCCAGGCTCTGGGTACCACAGTGGGCTGGTCACTCCTGGGGCAGGGTTACAGAGCACTTGGGTTCTGGCAGCAGGCAGGGAGCAGTCCTGTCCTGGGGCTCAAACTGGCCGTCCTGGGCTTCTGCCCCCGGGCTCAGGAGGCTGCGGTGGGTTGTGGGGGGCCCTGGGATGTGTGGTGCACAAGTGGGGGTGGCGGCCTTGCCACAGGCAGTGCCAGCTCCTGGCTCTTGCAAACGTGGCGGCTCTCGCCTGCCCTTTGCCGTGGAGATCTCGGCGCGGCTGGGCCACGTGCGGGGGTGGGAGGGGCTGAACCCCCCGAGGGGACAGTTACGCTGGGCCAGGATTGGCTGTGCGCCCCTAAAAGCCCTGCCAGGCGGCGTGAGCCTTGCACCCCACCGCAGTGGAGTCACCTGCTAATGCGTCAATA